TGGGCCAGATCGGTCCAAGTGTACGTATACAGTGCAATGTAAGCCGGGAAAACATGTATTTGGCAAAGAAAAATAACATACGTTTTGTCGGTCGGTACGTCCAATTCTATAGACTATAGAAATTTCATTTTCTTTGAGTTTCTTTTCTTTAGAAACGTAAAAGATTGATCCACAGCCGAATATAATTTCCTTACTTACTTACACTAACGACAAGGTCAAACGCATTAGTTGTTATTGATAGCACTTTTCGATGATGATTTCATTCCTGATCCTCTCAATTGCAAGGCCTATGAGTATTTGTTTTTTTTTTTTTCTTTCTATCGCCCCTCATGATTTGTCAGTAGAATTAGTCTTAGGCATAGTATTTTTGTCCGCAAGTTTCGTTTTATCGGCATAATTTTATATAAATCTTAAAAAAAACACTATTGGGTTATATCTAATGCATGTTTTTCACAAAATCGTAGACGATTGTTTTAAATAATAAAATTTTATTTAAAGAGAAATTAAATCATTGGGCGAATCTAAGTAAAGTGATTTAAGTGCCATAGATGGAAATGTAACCAGCAATTACCTAAGAGTGCAAACATTATAAAGTCCCTAAAGGATTATTACATTCTCCGATAATATGTAGAACTGTGACGTAAGGTGAGCGAGCATATGTAAACAGAAACTTTTTGCAAAGCACTGCCAACGTTTTCTTTGCCATTCGCTCTATCATTTGTTCTATATTTCAAACGTGCATATGGTTGAAAATTCAAAGCATGCTAATGACTATGCATTCGTTAGCAAGTTAGTATGCATTCGTTAGTTTCCCCCGCCTTTGAAGAAAGAAGAGAAAAAACAAATAAAAAAATTACAATACATTCGGTCGAATTTTTTATATCTTAAAAGCGACTAACAAAAAAAAAAAAAAAAAAAAAACAACAACATGAGCTCTCGATACTTCGTAGTATGTTTTCATTCTTCATATTTTTTCACACTTTTATACTATAGGTCAGGATCGTCCATTAGATAAACATGGAAATTTTCTTAAACCAACACTGAAAACAGCGAAGTGAACTTCTGACACTTTATAGTATTGCGTGTGTGTGTGTGATCTGTTCTCTCCGTTTTGCGTACTTTTTCACACTTTTGGACTGTAGGTCAAGATTACCCATACAATATATGTGGAAAGTTTCCTGCAAATTGAAGCTGGATGTATTTATTTACCTTAAGCATGTATATAACTAAATAAAATTGGGTTTAGTTGTCATTGATGACTCCATAATATGACATAAATTCACATTTTTATGTTCAATATTGCACTATATCAATATGCTCGCATTCGTTAATGTAAATTGTTCTCAATCAAAAGTTAATCTCATCTGGCCTTGTTTGGCAACGGTAAAGAAAATCGCGAAAAATTCAAGGAAATAACGAAAGCTATCTCTCTTATTAAATTGTGTACGTTTGTCATGCATAGAGAAACCAACAGAGCGTATGATTGTTATCCGATACGTTCACGTAGTTGATAACACTGTTCTTATTATTTGCATGTATTTAAAGATATTTTTTATATTTGTTTTTTTTTTTTTTTTTTTTTACGTTCACTGCTGTATAATACTTTGCTTTTATTCCAATTTGCTCGTGTATGTTGTGCATGTGTGTATATACTCTACATATATGTTTTGATAATTTAGTTATATATGTTTTATGTATGCATGTATATATAAATAATTTAATTTTGTTAAATACAATACTTTTTTATGTTCATATAACTATATAACTATATATGTAGTTAGTTGACATAATCATATTAATTGATTTTATTTGCAAATTAACTATTATTATTAACTGTATAGATATTGAGTTAATATCATGGAAAACACATTGATTTCAATGCAGTAAACACTATTTACTTCATATATACTCAGTCGGCCTGAAGTCGAGACGACAATTTATGACATCTAAATCTTTTCTCTACACTTTTAAGTTACAGATTAAACGAAACAATTTTCTAGATATATATATATATACCATAAGGATAAGAAAATAGTTTGTTAGTTTTTTTTTTTGTACATACAATAATACGTGAATGAAGATGTATATTTCTTCTTTCAAATATAAGCGTAATTCATTTATTTGTTTAGAGGCATTCTATTAATTTTTTTTTTTTGATAAAAATTTTGCATTTCTTTCTAATATCATTACAAAGTTGTGTTCATTAAAAACATATTTATTATTATATATATATATATATATATATATATATATATATAACATATAATATATATATATATATATATATATATAACTGTATATATATATATATATATATGTAAACGGGAGAAGGAAAATATAATATGTTGAAATTCGATTTAATTGCATAATTATTACAGAATTGACATACATTACAAAATAATTTCATTTAAATTATATAATCTTGAATAATGTACGAATGAAATGTTAACTTTTCATTTCTGTTTACTTGATGTCGGTTAAAAATTTTTAGGATTCAATTTCAGTTTGTTTTTTTATATCCGCAATTTGCGGCTGATTTTAATTTTTCTTCTTTTTTTTTATGTGGTCATGAAAACGTTTACGTTCTACGTTTAAGTTTGCGAGTAAAGCCAGTTAAATAATATCAACGTTCATATATAACTTATTTACCAACTTAAACGATTCTTTAGAGTTAAAAATTTTTATGAGTTTAGATATTAAACTCATTCGTGTTATTTGCAATTTTCTTCTTTTTTTTTTTGCACTAAAACTAGGTTCTTTATTCTAAATAGGCTTTAATCCGTATGCTGTTAAGCTAACTGGGTAGAATCGTTTAAATTCCTTTTTAAATTAAACAAGTAAAAACACTATAGTGAGCCATGGCTCGCCATTAAATGCTCTACACTTATGCATGTAAACACTTTACAAGATGGGGCCTTATGTTGGAAGTGATCGAAGAAATGGTCGGATTCGAACCACTTTCAATACGTGTTCGTCCACGGTAAAAAAAAACACGTCGTTTTACCAAATCTCATTAAAAGATCTCAAAAATTGCAACCGCAGCCTGCAGGTTGAACAC